ACATTCAATATTGCATAAAGATTGTCCCACACAATTTGTCAATCGCTCAAAAAAAGGCTTATGTTGATTGGTCGAAGGAAATGCTCAAAAAATACGATCGCGGTGCTTCTAAACACGTCTATGACATCGAGACAGGTGATGAATCGTGGATTTACAAGTATGAGCCCGAAAGTAAACAGCAGTATGTGTGTTTCAAGCTGAGCCAAATCTAACAAAAGTTGTTCGCGCACAAACACTTCCAAGCAAATGGTCGCCTGTTTTTTCGGAAAAACTGGATATGTCACCACTGTACCACCAGAACAAACCAAAACAGTCAATTCTGAGTGGTACACAACCATTTGTTTGCCAGTTGTCTTCCAAGAAATCAGGAAAACCAACCGCCGAAGATGTATTACTCTTCACCATGACAATGCGAGCTCTCACACATCGGCTCAATCAACTGCATTCAGAATGCACGTTTTGGAGATACCTCAGAGTGGCATAAATGCTTCGACAATTGGTTCTGAGGCATGCAAAAGTGTATAGATCTTTATGGGGAATATTCTGAAAAACAATGATCAATACTTGTTTTTGTTCTCTTATCCCGAAATATAAAAGGCAACCCTCGTACACCAAAGGTTCCAAAAAGTGCATCACAAGTAAATTGTCGTCTATTTAGTAATTTTCAATTTGACAAAGATGAATATCAAAAGAATTAACCCAGATATACCGATTGTCACAACTCCATAGACTACAAGGAGGTTCATGTGACAATCTATTGACTAGACGACAAATTACTTTGACGCTCTTGGAAACCAATCGATGTGCGAAAAATTTATAATAAGTTCATGGGAGGAGTAGATCGTTGCGACCAGAATGTAAGCCTCTACAGAACGTCAGTAAGAGGTAAAAAATAGTATTTTTGCCTAATTGCGTATGGTCTAGACATTTGCGAACAGAACGCATGGCAACTCCATAGACTACAAGGAGGTTCATGTGACAATCTATTGACTAGACGACAAATTACTTTGACGCTCTTGGAAACCAATCGATGTGCGAAAAAAAGGGGAAGACCTTTCGCGTTGGAGAACGGTGAATCAAGATTAGATAACCAAGATCACTTTCTTGTATCCCAACCCAAACAGACTCGATGTCGTGAATGTCACAAAAAAGTTCAGAAAAGATGTGAAAAATGTGACGTGGCTTTGCATATGGAGTGTTTTGTCAGCTATCATAGGTCTGAAAATTAGTTTGCTAATCAGTTACTTTAGAACTAGTATTTAAGTTTCTTATATAACACTACTACCTATATGCCGATTGTCCTTTTTTAAGGACACCCTAAAAGACAGAGTGTAAATACTAAAAAATAAACGAAATGTGTTTTTCTTGACTTAAGGAAGGTAAATTGTTAACATTAAAGCAGTAATGTTGAAAAAAAACAAAAAATAATAATTCAGGCATATCTGGGTTAAATAATGTCTAACACTATAATCAGCTAGGAAAGTGCAAACTGTCATTTCTTGACACACTTTCAGTTTGAGTAATAAAGACAGTATAACCACGTTATAAATTATAAACAAACATACCTGATCGACAAGCAACGTGCCCAAAAAAGAGATTCCTATAACAAGTTTGGCACTGTCCCATATACTTTCTGGTCGAAAAACATCTATTTCCTTGATCTGTGTTACAGGAATGAGACCTGTTCCCAAACTAACAACAACACTCACAGGAGCCGCTTCGTCGAGCCTATATTTTGCTTTCAAGGCCAAAGTGTGTTCGTGAATTTCTGTAAGTGCATCCATTGTAGGGTTGTTAGCAATAAGACCACCATCTAAATATCTTCCAAATGCTCTTCAAAGAGAAAAAAACAATAAATTCATGCCCATTTTCGCTTCATATGGTTACTTATTGTGACATATTCACTAGTTTGTCTAATTTCAATAATAACTCGCATACAGGAGTAGAAAAACCCCGAATGCGATTCGAGGACATATTGCTGGCATTCAGAAATAAATGTTCAAAGAAAGCGGTCGCCGTTTTATTTCCTCAACCTGAGTATATTACACTTATGAAATTGTGGTCAATATTGCTCACTTGATAAAGAAATCCAGAGAAAAAACTTTGACAGGATCTTCAGAAAGTGTCAAACTAATTTCGAGAGATACTATTCAACCAAAAAAATGAGATTCCAAAACTTTAACAAATTAGGAAAGTGACCACTGTGAGTCACAAGATTAATTAAAGATAATACTCTACATATCCTAATAATCCATTCACAAACACCAGAAGGAATTCCAAAAAACATTAGATATTTGTGACAAAGACAGAAACGAGTGTGGGTTGCCTTCTATTATGAATGTTTCCATTACAATAAGGGACTAGTGGCCTTGAAGAGGAAAACACTCTGTTAAAAGAATTTATAAAAAACAAAGATACAACTAATTTATAACTACTTGAAGATAAATTGAGTGATGTTACATACCAAAAATGTAAAAGGAATGAAGTTATCAAGAAGAGTAATAATATAATAAAAAAAAATAGTTCATTGCCAAAGACATGCGGTAATCATATACAGTTTCTAATAATATTCCAGCTAATTATCCAACTACTCAACATAATTTGTTTATTGAACAAAAGTATTGCAGATGAAAATGAATGGATATTTGATCTTACTTAAAAAAACTTCCTTACTATGAAATAAGAGGCAAAAGAGATGATCTGATCCAATCTTCATTATCTGAAAGAATGCAGAGGTACCCCAGGGATCTATCCTGAGGCCTCTTCTATCTATACTATATTTCAATGAACTTCCACACATTACATGAGTGCTTTCAATACCATCACTTCAGTATGCCGATGATACCATGTTTTATGAGAGTCACCCTGATCATCAATACTTTAAATAACAAACCTTATACGCAATAAATAAAAAAAAAACATTTTTGCATCTATTAATTTGTGTCTTGACGCGAAAAAACTGACACACTCACTTTTTGAAAGCTGAAAGACTGTCAAAAGTCCCTCAAGTTTTTAGGTGTTATTCCTTTTTACATTTCTAGAGCAGTATACACAGGGGTATTTCAGTTTAATAGGTCTTATGGATAACTTTTTTGGGGACATTCAACTGATTAGGAGAGGATATATATCCTTCTAAAGACAGCCCTTAACATTTTGGGGAAAATAAAATAGACTGATANCTGATCCTTTATCCCTCACAGGCGGCCTTATATATGGGGCTCATATTTGGTGGAGGTACTTAACCGGGTTCAAGGTATCCCCCTATATATTAATGTGCCGCGCTTTAGTAAATCCCGAAATCCCCGCTTGGGCTCCCCTATTATATAGTAAGGAAGAAAACCAGAACCTAAGAGTTTTCATAATTTATATATACCACGGATCTTTTAGATATCCAGTCCAATTTTCAATAGAAAATTTGTTGTTTCATTCAATATTTCATTTAGGCAGTAAAATACATAATAATCTTCTAGATAAACTAAAAATAAATCAAAAAACAAAATTTAAATTGAGTCAAAAAAGTTTCTGCTTTCTTTCTCTAACTGAAATTCTGATCTTCATACTACATTTTTTTTAATAACTATTATAATTCAATTATAAATCAATGAATATGGTTCTAATATGAAGACAAAGGCAATTTGTTGTTACATTCATTCAATAACAAACGAATCAAAAATTTCGAGCATAAATTTCAAAGAAATCAATAATATTCAAAATCATAACACCAGACACACAACATTTTTGTAAGTCATACATTTTAAATGTAATTTTGGACAGAAATCGATTCATCATGAAGGAATTTTAATTAATAACACAATTCCTGAAAAAATAAAGAAGTTACAACTGCCCCAAAATTGAAAAACATTCAATTAATTGAGTTCAAGTATGGATATTTTTTTAAAGCCAGAGTTTCACTTTGGACTGTCTGGTAATATTAATTGTTTCATTTGTGTTTTCTTGTTCAATATTTCTTGATTTTGTTAAATTTTTATTATCAGTTCGTAATTCCTATTCATATACAAAATTTCTGGGAACGATGAAGACAATACAATATTAAGAACACATCTTTTGAAAAGCCTATTCTCTCATCAGAAAAAAAATGCTGTCTCTCGATGCATATTTCGCAGCAACATCATGTTCCATCTCCTGATGATGCTAACTTGATTAGCGAAACGCGGGTCAAGACAACTTTTATGTTCTGGTGAGGAAAAAGGGTTTTCAATAGATTAATTTCACGCGACAGGTTCCAAATTCTATTTATCAACTTGAGAATGCATACCTAAAGTAAGTTGGAGCTGCTCCTGTGGCCCTTCCCACCTCCCAAACGAATTGTTCCTCAGGAGGGGGTGGCAACTCATAGGGAGAGTCATGAGTCACTCCCATAATATCGCTGGGACTGGTATATGATCTGAATAAATGCAGTTCAACGGGTTTTCGATCAGCCAGAACACCAGTGATCATAACACGGGGGTGTTTGATGTCAGACATGACAGTGTCTGTGCCGAACGTATCTTTCAAGATATTTTCCAGATTTTCACTGCTGTAGGGTCGACTACCATTAAAAGCATGTTCCTTCATGCAGAAGTAAAGGCAGAGACATTCCTTCATAGTTTTTCCCGAAGCGATGGCTACGACAAAAGCTGGTAAGGTTAATTGAATCGAAATACAAATGTTAAAACTAGTAACAGTACATGTAATGAATATAAATTGAAGTTTACGAGTGTTTAAACATACAGGTCAGCTTGATCACTGCCATTGATAACTTTACCTATAGTGTGCGTTACACCAAAATTGCATAAAAAGTTTGAGGTTAAGAAGTGAAGTTATCACTAAATGCTTCATTTATAAGTCTCAGAGATGAATGTATTAGACTTTTTTCAATGATTAAACAATATACAAGGTACTGAGTAGAAGCATGGTATATCAAAGTTAAGTTTTTTCTTGATATATTGCTTTTCATGTCGAGATTTCATTAGAAATGTACTTTCATTGAATATATAGTTATAAAAGTATAGACCAAGCAGTTTAGGGGTTTGATATAGGTTGCTATATGGGTNCTATTTGTGTGTTAGTATACACAGATGTGAGTTATGTATAACTGAAAATCGCAATTAAGATACAGGTCCAGATAACATTACAATATACCAACTGACCTTACACAAAACTAGAGTGCAGGTAAACAATTATACCCACTAATTATGCTAACAAGGTTTATTTATTGGTTATGTACTACTATTTATAGTTTTTAAATAATTTTCAAATTCTTGTATATTGTAGAAGCAACCTTTGTTCATAATCTTTCTCAGTTCTTTTTTGAAGATTATTACGGACGAACATTTGATATTGTGAGGAAGCAAGTTGAAATAAGAACATCCTCTGTAGATTCCAGTTTTTTTAAAGAATGCGTGATTAACCCTGCCCAGTCGCAAATTTTTAGAATTTCTAGTGGCATACTTTGAAATATCTCCGACTTTCTCAAAGTAATTGATGTTTGTTTTGACATACATTAAGATTTTCATGAGATATATACCAGTTAAAGTAGGGATGTTGTTCCGTATGAAAGTATCTCGGTATGATTCATCAATCGTCTTCGGGTGATTTTTATTTTCTTTTTCATTTCTTCATTTTTCTTAATTTTTTGTTCAATTGTTGTATTTTTACTTGTATTTTATTTCACTATTATTTCATTTCAGGTTTTTTTGCTTAATATAACTGTTATTTTCAGCTGTTCATTTTTAATTCTTCTTTTTTAGTTGTTTCAGGGATTTCAAATCATTTTATATAGCAGACAATGGAAGTCCAAACTAGTGAAATTCATCATGAAACATTGTCAATCACCTTCAAACAAAGCTCAAAAAAGACTTATGTTGATTGGTCGAAGGAAATGCTCAAAAAATACGATCGCGGTGCTTCGAAACACGTCTATGACATCGAGACAGGTGATGAATCGTAGATTTACAAGTATGAGCCCGAAAGTAAACAGCAGTATGTGTGTTTCAAGCTGAGCCAAATCTAACAAAAGTTGTTCGCGCACAAACACTTCCAAGTATGGTGTGAACCAGGTTCATAGTTGATATCATTTATATAAATAATGAATAGCAGTGGTCCCAAAACACTGCCTTGTGGTACACCTATGTCATTTATAATTTGATCTGACATTACATCACAAATTTTAGTCCTTTGACTTCTTTGCTCAAGATAACTATCTATTGTTTCAAAGGCACGCTTGAATTCTAGAAATATAGCAACAATATATTCTTATCAATACTTTTTTTCCACTCTGTGACTGATAGTTGTAACGCTGTTTCGCACGAGTGATTCTTACGAAAACCAGACTGTATGGGGTGATAGAGGTTACATCCAGAAATTTATGGGTGATATAGGTTGTTATGTAGGCTGATATAGGTTGCATCCAGAAATTTCCGGGTGATATGAATTCGAGTTAAATTAACAAATTTTCAAATGATAACCTCATTAGAATTATGAAAAGGAGAAATAATCTCAATGACAGAGACTCTATCTCGATAATGTAAAGACTGTTACTGTAGATACCCAATGGTATAGAAACTATGTAAATTAAAATAAATGCCAAGCTTAGCCCTGTGTTCCTGTCGAATTGATATTTAGAAACAGAAGGCTTCACCTCCCAAATTCTTCTGCAGAAGAGGAATTCTTTATATAAAATTGGGTCATAGTTTTTATGGTATAACAATCGAACAACCAGGTACTTACTCATAAAATGAATATTTTTAGAAAGTGCTCAAGGGGGAATCACATGAAATAAAATATAGTATTTTATTTGAAAAAAATCAAGCTTTTAAGTTTTGATTAACCAAGAATAAAAAAAAATCAATAAATCATTATTAGATGATAATATCAAATTTGATATACCTCGTTGCATCCATTTAGAACCCTGTAATATTGATGAATAGTCAAAAAAAGCTCAATGCACTGATATCTGAATTTTATAAGAAACAGTTTTTGAATTCACTCCTCAACCTCAAACTTCAAATGGAAGTTTGATGTTACCACACTGTTTATTCAACATCATACTACCCAGAGAAACACATATAATGAATATAATATGATCAACTGGTATTTATGAACTGATATTCGAATAAGATGTAATAATAGGTATAAAATTATCACTACGTATTGAATTCAACAAATTTGAAAATTGTCTCAATTCAAATTGTTTTTAACGGCATAAATGTTTTGGGGTCCCTATTCATTCAAATCTATTTAACGACTTGTCAAACTTGAGACAGATAATCCCTACATAACCCAGAAAGAGATTATGGAGAAAACTCGTATAGTGAAGAAAATATCAACCAAACATCCATTATATGACATCAGTCAGTTTTTTAAAGCTAGGGATCTTTTAAAACTATCCGGTATCCGGCGGCCTAAATACTATTCGGCCGAATACCAGATTTAAAAAAATATTTATAGGTAATTGATTGCTTTATTTAATAGGTATCACTTAAGAAATACAATCAGTAACCACACAATAATTCTACAACTGCCTGGTTGGCCGAATATATCTTTAAAACAATTTTGGAAAACAGTACTGATGTGTGTATAAAACTATGTGTATTCATAATGACTGATAATAGTGATTATTATTACTGAAAAAAAATCTTTTGTTTCCAGTTAAAATATTTTTGTAATTTCTAACATTTGCAAGTCATATGGTACTTAAAGTAATAAAAACATTATTGGCTTCAAAATTATTACCCCATAAACTGTGAGATAGTATATGAAGACAACAGGGGAATATCGGGCTTAGTCACAAACAAATCATTTTTGAGTTATCCATGCCGTTTTGTAGCTAAACTGCGACTCTATCGTTTAGCTGTGAAGAACTGGCTTATTTACCACTTCCCAATGTCACCACTAGCGATGTTTAATATACACCAGCTATCAGACAACGAAAGTGTTTTCTACACGTATGCTGAAGGGAGGGGAAAAAAGGGGCTGATAACGTAGCATCCATGCTTCATGACTTTATACACAACTTCCTCAAGCCGTCGGTAAGAAAATTGCTTATTCTCTGGTACAGCTGCGGTGGACAAAACAAGAATTACACACTGTTCCGATTAATGCATTACAGTGTGCACATGGAGATACGGCTTGACTACATTGAGGTTACGTTTCCCATAAGGGGGCACTCTTATATGGAACCTGATAAGAACATGGGTCTGATTAACCAAAAATCTCCATGTGAGCTACCAAAGGATTGGCGTGAAGTATTTAGAAATGCCAGGACGAATCCCAAACCGTTCAAAGTTGTCAACTTTTGACAAGAAAAATTCCGGGCTTGGACCAACTTTCTAGAGCCTAGATACAAAAAAAATGCCCCTTCGGTACCAGAGCTGTCAGGATCTTCCAGACTGAAAAGAAACATCCTCGCCTCGTGTTTTTAAAGCAAACATACTCCGGCCAGTTCAATAGTTCTGTCTTGCCATTGACTGGTGTGAAGGATGGACTAAAAGAAGGCGAATTTTATTCACCACCACGAACTTATTTTGGCAGGATTCCTATCAAAGCAGCCAAGTATAAAGATCTTCAAAAGCTCAAAAGGTTTTGCACGAATCCGGCTGCAGATAAATTCTATACTTCTCTGAAGAAAAATTAAATAAAGAGTTTCTGACATTATTATTTTTTATTGATATTAGCTTTCTAGAAACAATGAAAAAACCGGCTAGGTCCCATCTGCCATAGGACATGGCCTGTTTTTCCCCTACTTCATCCTACCTTTGAACATAAAAATGGTTATTGCGACTCTCAGATGGCATCTAGGGCCTTCTTACGTTCAAAGCCATTCGTATAGATACCAACGATTAAGAAAATCTAAGAAAAAATGGTATATCATTAATAGAGTATGGCCAGAAGGTTTTAAAAGTTTAAAATTTGATTTCTCACGAATTTCGTTTTTGTGACAAAGCCCGATATTCCCCTGTGGTCTTCATATCACAATGTCTAACATAGGCAAATTCCATGATTACAAAAACCTGTAACCCGAACATGGGATTCCATCACTGTAACATTTGATCTTCTCAAATAATCAGTCTAACTCCTTACCTAACGCTAAAATGCCTCCAGTGCTGGTACCTGCTAGCCAATCAAAACAATGGCTTATGGGTTTCCCAACTATTTTCTCTAATTCCAGCAGCATTTGAACCAAAACCAAACCCCTTATGCCACCTCCATCCAGACAAAGCAGCCGGCCTTGTTTTGGAAATTTAGATCGATGTTTTTCGGATGCAGCTTCCATGCCAGCCACAGAAAGCATCATATTGAGTATATCCCGATTAGTTGGCCCAATTACCTGACCAATAAAAAAAATATTGAGATTTCATAAATAATTTTAATGCTTCAAGCCATTGAACTGAAAAGTTGCAATTTTTTTTTAGAGTTTCAGTTTCAACTTGTACAAAATGAATATGAAACGAAAATTCACTGCATTATTAACTCGTATTATTTTTACTATGCTGTAAAATAAATAATTTTTAGTCCACACTTTGCTATTTCCAGACTTTCGGAAACATTCAGAAGTTCAGTGTCATGTACTGATCACAATAACTTCCAACAATGATCATTTATTCTGTACCCATTTTCTAAGGTGTGTTGAGCAACAGTGAACTTTTATGGTCTACGAAATCTGATATGCAATACATGCTCTTTGAAAGGATATTCAATAGATAGTCTGACATACTCTCAAACTTTTTAGTTTCAAATCATCTGAAGGAACAATTTGTTCAGGCCAGTCTCAACTCCCTACACTGTAAGTTAATGGACTGACCCCTATCAGAAAACAACTACTCCCCGAGGAATTGGGCAAAATTCAGATATGCAGTTAGTTATCTCNCAGTGGCGTACGGAAATTATACTAAACAGATAAGAAAAAATGATGATGAAAAATATAGAATCACAACTTTGACAACAATATTTTCGTTTTAATGCTATAACATTTTTGAGAATTTAGTGTCTACTATTATGGAATTGTACTATAACACTTGTTAGATCGAAAAAGCAGTTTCGAAAGCTACTTTTATGTTGTTTTTTTGAAAATTCGATTGATGAAATCCAAATATGTGTATCCTAATGAACTTATCTTCTATGCTATCCATTTCCTTCAGTTATGTCCCTCATAACGTTCTTCTCAGTAATTTTTTTTGTTGAGGAAAATGTAACAAGTCATTGGATAATGGTGTGAGCTTTCGGGAATACTGTACACTAAGCTCTTTGTTCTCATGTAGCCATAATTCTAGTGTTATTTACCAATATCAACTATTTTATATAGCGGTCATTCATTCTGTGGCAATTTTCTAAGATGTGCTGAGCGAAATTAGACGTTTCTGATCCACGAAATAGGATATATGCTTCGTGTTCTTTGAAACGAGTTTTAATAGCTCGTTTGGTTTGACCAAAATACTCATCACATTCATCACACCTTATTTCATGTATTACCGATTTTTCATTTTCCCACATCTTATCTTTAGGATTATCCAACATTTGTTGAAGTGTGAAAGCAGTTTTAAGAGTTACTTTCACGTTGAACTTTTTAAAAATACGATATAATTCATTAATGTATTTTGGTTCATACGGTTTGGTGTTGGGATAAAACTCCAGTAATATTGAGTAACTTACACGAGAAAATTTCCGACCAAGAAATCATTGATGGGTCTAAAAGTGAATGTATATACTGTTAGATATAGAAGATATAGTTAGGTATAAGCCTATTCCATCTCCTGAAGATGCTAACTTGATTAGTGAAAAATGCGTCGAGAAGATTGTTGCAGTTCAGGTGTTTGGGAGCAAAAAGTGAAAATGAAGAGGGAAAATATATGCTTTCTATTATGAAACTCTTGATTACTTTCATCACAAACCTTGGGTGGTGGAATACCCTCATAAGTTCCATTAAATCTGCATCCATCAGTACATCCTTCCATATCCCGTGGACATCTTTTCGTGCCAACTGCAGATAGATAGTAAAGCAGGTTTGGTTCTTGATCTGTTAAAATAATATCGTAATAGTAATAGTTCCAATCAAAAACGGAAATTTTGTGTTCAATCATTATATTCTCCTACCTGGCAAAATCATGTGTCTTGCTGATTCACCACTGTTGTTGATGATATCTAAATCAACTCCAAATACCACGAGTGCTTGAATTATTGACACATTATTGGCTTTGACCGCTAAATGGATAGGCCTATTTCCATCTTTGTCGCCCAAATTTGGATTTGCCTCTTTACTTAGAAGGGCAACAACACAATCCAACCTGAATTAAAATAAACATAATGAAATTCTATGGAATGTTAACTTCTGAGAGAATAACAGAAAAGGGTTATGATACTTATTTAAATGAAAGTATCTTAAAGTAATGCTAACGTTGATGTGTCTTTACTTATTAGAAACAGTCTGTCTCATACACAGAAGATGCAAACATCCCATTATTTCCAATTATAATACTCATTCAACTCCTTATAGTGTAGGAAAAAGAAGTACTTATCTGCCTATTTGTTATACATACTTGAACTTAGCACTACTGAGGAGCTGAAGGTAAAATTTAAAAGAGGATACCAAACATTTTGGCTGAAGGTAAAAATACACGTAAAATATCCTGGACTGGGGAATTGGGAGAAAGCTTTTGATTTTAGCGTCGTTACAAACCTTTTATTAACAAAATAGGAACAGACTGAATATCACAGAAAGGAAAGACTTGTGGTTATTCCTAACAAAACGGAAGCCAAATATCCATGATTTGCTGTCAATCCATCAACAACTACATCCCTCTCATTAAAATTATGACTATTTTGTGATTGTCAGTGTAGTGTAGAAGTTACGTTAATAATGTTCAATTTCAATTATATTACGACTGAGTAATAGTGTATTAATTACATATTTGAATAAATATACTACTATTTTTTATTTTTACCACACCGAATGGGGAGTTTTCTAAATAAAATAAGTGAGAATTGATTGGTGCCTTGTGCTGTGAGCAGATGTGAAAAAAGTAAAGTTGGATGGAATCACTTATTTAATTGGCCAACTTCACTTCTTTAACATCCACTCAATTATTCAAGTAACTAATCAATTCTCACTTTTTATTCGAAAAGTGTTAATTCGTGGTTGAAATGCAGCTGTACGGCAAATTTTCATAGTTAGATCTAATCTTCACATTTTTTGTCAAGTTTTAAGAATATGTTAGAAATGTAGCTGCAGGGGGTCCACTGAAACCAGCAAAATTTTGAAAGAGGTCTATAACAAAAAAAGTTTGGGAACCTCTGCTCCAAACAATATCTTGGGGATACATTTATCCGAATTTATTAGTGTTACAAAGTGATTTCATTCAATTGAACAAAGAAACATGTAATGTTTTTTGATATTAATAAATTTATTATCATTATTTGACAATTTGATAGTTAATATAGTTATATAGTTTAGGTTTGGTAACAATATTGCTTATTGGTATCAATGTCATTACTATAAACCTATTCAAGAAACAAGTAACACAATATTGTGTTACTGAACAGTTTACAAAACCGCAACACGTATTTCATTATAGATTGGCTTCGTCAGGCGTGTTCATAATTTCTTAATTCTACTTAATCAGTGCTTTCTATTAAATAACAAATTGAATCATATGACCTTCTACCTACTTGATGACTGAGTATAGGTATAAACTTATTGATAATTTGAACATTATGAAATAAACTATCTACTCAATGACTAATAATTTTACCAGAGTTCAGGTATTGACTAATTGAAAATTTAAACCAATTTAAAAGAATTAAAGTTTGACCAATTCATTATAATATAATAATAATAATAATATCCTTTATTCGCCATAAAAATAGTATTATAAGGTTTTGTCAAATATCATAAGAATACCATGAAATCACTAAATGAATGAATAAAAAATAAACAAATAAGGAAAAGAGATGTGAACATTTTCAATATAAATATCACTGTCTACGTGGATTGCAAATTCAAAATATTAGTTGGTGTTGAAGTCAAATGATAAGAATTCGTCGATAATACAAAAAGCGTTTTCCAAGCAGATATTCTTCATATAATTTGTAAACAATGCTGTATTTAAGTTTTTTATTTCTTCTGGTAGTTTATTTGATAAAATAGGACCATAATAATTTTTCGAAAAACGGCAGTGATTTAGTCTTGTGAATTCAATTTTGATCTGTTGTGATTGTCTGGTGTTATGTGAATGAAAATCGTTTTGATTTAGATATAAGTGAGGATTTTTTTCTACATAATTTATACACGAATAGACATAAAGAGAAGGTAATGTAAACATTTTATTATTAATTAATGTTGTGTCAACGTCTTCTTGATAACCCAGTTTGAAGATAACTCGCAAAACCTTTCTTTGCAGTCCAAACACTCTTTTTGCATGAGGCGAGTGCCCCCAAAGTACTAGACCATAAGACACATGGGACATGATAAGCAGTGATAATGGCTTCAATAGATGAGATTCCCATTAAACATCTTATAATATAAATGTTTTTCCCAAGAGAGCTTTTGACCCATTTGGAATCCAAGAAATTTAATCAATTCATTTTGGTCTATAGGCAGTTGTTTGTGTGTAAAAAAGTAATGTTGTGTTTTATTAGTTTTCATTTTTAATTTATTATTTGCCATCCATCTATTAGCATTTGACTTTGCTACTTTCATTTCTTAACTATAGCCTCGTAGTTTGTATTTTGGAGCGTTAATGATGTGTCGTCAGCAAATTGAGTAATCTCAGAGTCATCTTCAGTCTTGAAATCAATCACATAAATCAAGTATAGAATTGGTCCCAAAACCGAACCTTGGTAGACTCCGTTTTCTATTTCTTTGGTATTGTCTATGTTCCGATAGATATGATCCAACAAGGTTAATTGAGTTTTCCTCAAATTTGAACCACTCCAATTTTTTAAGCAGGATTTCATGTGACACACAATTGAATGCCGCCTGAAGATCGCAGAACACTGTTCCTGTGTGGACGCATTTCTGTGCTACCACCATTTCTACCAGCTGCATTACAGCGTCTGTGGTTGATTTTCCGTTCCGGAAACCGTATTGGTAATCTGGAATGATGTTATTATGTACCTAAAGGTGTTCTACTAACTGCGACTTTAGAGCAGCTTCAAATATTTTGCCGATTACGGGAAGTATTGAGATTGGTCTCAGTTTACACAATTCTTCGGCATTTTTTTCTTTTGGTATTGGGATCACTTTAGTAATTTTGAGGCAATCAGGAAAAGTTCCGGATTTTATTGCTTCGTTTATCAACTTTGTTAAGGGTGTGATTATGATATATTTGATTATTTTTATTATAAAGATATTTAGCTCATAATAGTCAGCACTGGTTTTATTTTTCATTTTATTTATTATATTTCTAGTTTCGTTAAAGGTTACTTCCCTTAATTTAAAGTTTGGGAAACAGTTAAAATTTCCTGGCAATGGAGAAGTTACATATGATTGGGTTTGTACCACACTGCGATATATATCGTCTGCTTTGTTGATCAAGAAGTCGTTTATGTCATTTTCGTTTAGTTTGATTTCTGGTTGTTTTTTTTGTTTTGCCCTTATCTTCATTTATTATATCCCAACACGTTTTGTTAATATTATTCGAATCCTTTATTTTCCTGTTATTAAACTCTCTTTGAACGAACTTAGAACTTACCAATTTCCACATTAGAATTCAACTCTATTTGGTCATTCAGTAAATTTCCCGAATTCTTTAATCAATCCCAAAGATCGAGTTTCAAACCCTTTCCTTCCAAATGTAATATGTCACAGTTGTGGTTGAACTCATGCCCCTCTGCCAGAAGAGATGGTTTACAAATGTGGAGTTGAAGAAACTTTTGTATAGCGAAATACGAGTTGTGGTTTTGTGAATTGTTCAATGAAAATCTCACAATAAAGTCTTACTTGAATACACTATGGATTACATCACATAGTACAAACCTGTTTCTCTCCACCATAACATGTAAGGCAGTTTTTTTTTCAAAATTCAAAGCATTTATGTGACAATTGACGTCGATGAGTGCTTCAATAACCTGTCTGGAATTGGCCCAGTGCAAAGGGGTACCCCCGTTCTTTATGTCTTTCAAGTAAAGCGTATTTGGATTGTTTTGGAGAAAGTTTCCAACATAGCCTGGATCAATGGAATCATATCTTTCGTCGTGGTTCTCGCCTTTGGTTGCAGTTATGTTGACATCTGCGCCGGCAAGTAGAAGAGCCTTGACGCAATCAGGCTTATCGGCTAGACAGGACATGTGGAGTGGCGTGTGTCCATTTTTGTTGCGACCATTCAGGCACCTTGGCGCGGAACCTTGAGCTAAAATCTAAGAAAATTTTGAAATGACAAATTCAATGAATACAAAAACTATGATATTCTAGCTGTGATACAGACATTGAAAAACAAGAAGACTGAGGATATATATGGAATAAGTGTCTATGTTGTTAAAAAGTGTGGTCATTTATTGTTGGACGTTCTTGAAAATATCATTACTACCTCTCTAAATGTTCAAGTTGGCAATAATCTCCTCAATCTATAAAAAAGGATCACCAGAACTACCTCAAAACTTCAGACAAATATCAATCTTGCCTTGCTTTTCAAAATATTTGAAACCATTATTTATGATCAACTAGTTAATTACTTCGATAAGAACTGAATCCTGAGTTCTCAGCAGTATGGTTTTATAAAAAATATGTCCACTTTGGATGCTATCAAGTCATCAACTCGTGCCATAAAAACCAGTTTTGAAAGAAACGAAAAATTTTTGGGAATCTTCACAGACCTAAATGCAGCTTTTGATTGTGTTGATCATGACGTACTACTGAGGAAAATGGAGTACTATGGAATAAGAGGAGTGGCACTCAAACTAATCAAATCTTACTTGTCCAATCGATTTCAAGTAGTTTGTATTGAAAATCAGAGAAGCACTCCTCAGTCAATAAATAAAGGAGTTCCTCAGAGATCAATATTGGGCCCCCTTATCTTTATTATTTATATTAACGATTTTTCATATATTGGGACAATTATGTATGCTGATGACACCACATTTGGCATCAGTATCAATAAAGGGGAATGTCCGGCTACAATCCTTGGGGAACTTATGGAACAAGCAAAAACCTGGTTCTTGACGAACAAGCTCATACTCAATGAAAAAAAAACACAAGTCTTATTTTCGAATCCAGAATATCCTACAATGTAGAAAACGATCTAGACGTGCTGCACACTAAATTTCTGTAGATGTGTAGATGTAGATGTCAGGCTACTATGGAACATACATATACAGTACGATGCAAATGTATGGAATAAATTCGATATTCACAAAAGGAGCGTCTTTCGGAAGAAATCCAAAAACAGGTCAACTTTAATGTTCGACGGCCCATCTCATGATATTCATATGAAAGACGTTTCGTCACCAGTGTTGGCGTGATGACGTAATCGACAATTTTTTTAAATGCAAACAGGGGTCATGTGGCACCCCATTCAAAAGGTCTACTAGTCGTCTATTCAACGGTATAATGGTTTCAATATGTATTAATACAGGGTCAACCGAAATTATGTATTCAGAAGACTGGAATTACAAATAATAGTAATTCGTTGAACCAAATAATGCTATGCACCGCCACTGAGAATAAAGTATCGTACTGTCTTCTATTGTTTTTGTTGATTAGAAAAAAGAAATGGTGATAAAAGTCCTACACTCTACTTGAGATTAGTCAATGTCATTGAAGTGAAGTATCATTGAAGCGGTTGACATTATTTCTAGAAAAATATTTAAATCACTTATAATCTGGCAATGAAAGNCTTTTTCCGTTGGTTGTCCAAAATACAACCAACGGAAAAAGTGGCTTCATAATTGAGGAAACGTGGCTTCATATTTGAGGAAACGTGGCTCCATTTTTGAGGAAACGATATATTAAAATTGCATATAGAACAAGTAATACGTTGGGAAAGTTAGTTAAAAATAATAAAGACAATACATCCAAATTCGATAAATCAAGAGTATATAAATTAAAGTGGGGAAACGTGTCCTAAGGTATATATTGGTCAAACTGGCAGAACATTTAGGAATCGAATCCAGGAACATCATACGAGCTATGTAAATAAGAAAACAAATTCAACATATTCAAATCATCTTCTAGAAAAAAATCATATCTTTAATGAAGAGTTCGAAATTTTGCAAATAGAAAATAAAGGTTTGAAACTGAATCATTTGGAAGTAATGGAAATTAGTAAACTTAAAAATTCAAACATTCTAATAAATGACCAACTAGATTTGAATAGATCACCATTATTGAACCTGTTTTCTTAAAATCCGAGAAAGAATTAGTATTGATGTAGATATGAGGTAATATGTTTTAGATAATCATAATTCAACAGGTACTTTAGGTAGAGGTTCAAGTAATTTTTTTGGAGGTAGTCTCAATTATGGCTACCTGTAGTATATAAATATTAATGTAAGAAACTTATGGAAATCAATTGAGTGATTACCAACAGACTGGCTTCGAAGTATTACTTTTTGTCAATGCAGTACAGATCTAACAAAGATAGTAGTGGCGTGGAGTACACATCTGAGACTGAGACAAGATCTGTTTCAACAACTAAATTGGATTAGTAAGTTAGATCTCATGAATAAAGCCACAAACGATGAAGAAGCTTTCAGTGCACAAAAACTCTAATAGAAATTGAATGATACTGACGACTGTGTCAAGGAGATATACAGATGCATTAAGAAAACGAATATTTCAAATTAAATTTTGAAACAGTCGAGTAGCAAACAGCACTGTGGTCTTAGTTAGATCTGTTTTGCATTAACGAGGAGTGATACTCGGAAATCAATCTGTAGGTGATCACTCTACTGATTTCAGCTAGGTCCTGCTGCTGGACGAACGATCAGCATCTGCGAAACTTTCAATATAATCCAATGTCCGTAGCGATATTAGCCAAAGAAGTATTCGTTTTCTGTGTACTGTACTGTGTACTGTATACTTACAGCAATTATATCTTTGGTTGTAGTTGCAGCATAATGGAAAACCGAGTTAGACTCATGATCGAGATGCTCCAAAGAACAGTTTGCTGAAACCAGAATATGCACCATTTTCAAATTCTGTGTTGTGATTGCCACTTGCAAAGGAGACATTCCTGTCTCTGTATCAGAACTATTGAGAAAACAGTTGATCCTTGCATCAGTAAACGAGTCATATGAGCCAAAATATGCTGCCAGATGTGCCAAGGTCCAAGTAGGATGTTCTGACAGAACATCGCAGATTTTTTGTAAACCATGGACGTTACACATCTAAAAGAGAAGTGAATGTTGGCACCGATTGATATACAACCAATGGAAAAATCATGATTACCTCTTTTGATACTTCTATAAAGAGTGGTAGCTTGTCTTTAAGAGTTACAAACTTAGCTTCAGCTTCATCCAAACTATCTGTTCGAAATAAGCTGAAATGAAATTAGATAGTTTTATGTTGGAATTTTCATACTGGAATATAATGTAATTTTTGCAACATTTTCAAAAAATACTGCAGTTGTTGCAGGCCCATTTCGAAACATCTTTCCTATATATTATTATTATTATTCAAATAGGGGTACATCCTAATATATAACAAAAATAATAACATTAAACATCAATTTACATAAAAAAACAATAATGAAAAAAAATCTACTAATACTTGTTAATAAAGACTACATACAATAATTAAAAATACACAAAAATCCTTTAAAATAAGACTGGTAGAGAACTTTACATTTTCAGGTAGACTGTTATACTTAATAAATCCTTTAAAAATTAGTGTTTTAGTGTTGAACAATTTTGTTTGATTATTTACATACAAATAACATCTTATTCTAGTATTGTACTGGTTTATTCAATCATTATAAATCACAAATTTGTCAAAATATGAAGGTGAAAGGTTATGTGACATTTTGTAAATATATATCAATGTTAACTATGTAAGCCTACTTTCTTTAGATAACCATTCTAGAGTATTCAACATTAAAGATATCGGAGTACTCCTATCACATCTCAAAATAATCCTCATTACGCAATTCTGTAGTTTCTGTAGTGTTCTCATCTTATTTGAATCAGCTGTGTATAAAAGAGTGGGATAATATTCGAAATGTGGTTTATAGAAAAGTTGTACTTTGACATTTCAGTAAAGTATAGATAAAAAAACTTTTCTGTTGCTCAGAAATGATTCTTATTTGAAATTTACCAAAAGTGGATATGTATTTGGAAGTAGTAAAAGTAAAATATCTATTGAATTAATTGTATACATGTAAATACAGTTATGACTTTTTTTAGATAACTAAAAGAATATACCTTAAAATCACATTTACAGTCCGTTATATGAAATGTAATTTTTTATACTGTCTTAAAGTTGATTGATCTAAACATTCATAAATTTTTAGTTTCTATATAATTAAATTTCAAGTTAGTAGAGTAATAAAAAATTGAAAATTACTACTTTTCCTAACTATTAGCAAAATTGTGAATTTATTTTTATTTCATCAAAAGTAAAATAAGAATATGGAATACAAAATCAAAGTATTCAAATCATTCAAATCAGGCTCCTTATTTCAACTTTTTAGCTCGAACAAGACAAAAAAAATCGTTTTCAACATTCAAAAACACTTTATTGTGAGATTTTGACTAAACAGTTTTACAAAAACCCAACACGTGTTTCGCCATACAATGGCTTCTTTGGGCGTGAGTACAGACACGTCCGAAGAAGCCACTGAATGGCGAAACACGTGTTTAGTTTTTGTAAAACTGTTTAGTGAAAGTCTCACAATAAAGTGCTTTTTGAATGTTAGTTATGAATGTTCATCAAGTATCGGCCAATTCCATCATATATTTCACCATATAAAATCGTTTTTATAGCAAGCATAGTTCTGAAACAGCACTCCAATGTATTTGACATTCTTTTTCGGGGAAGAAGTTTGGAAGAAAATGAAGTAGTTGATGTAATAATTTTGGATGTCGGGAGGGCATTTGAAAGTGTGGACAGAAGTAGATTAATGTTGTGATACCCTCATTTATTTTTCATCTCCAACACATAAAATTCTAACTAAATTTCACAATAAATTGTATTTATGAATGGTGCTCACTGCGAATGAAATTCAGATGAAATACAGCCAAAAAAGAACTGTTAAACCTTATAATTGAACGAGTGAAAAAATCAAATATTTGGTTGACAATGTTCTGATCTTCAAAATGCATGCCAACTACATATTCAAATCTATTTATTTCAAAGTAAACTTTCGATTTACATGTTGCAGGTAGTTTAATACATTTACAAAAATGGAAATATTCAATACTATTATACTTCCACATTTCAACTACCACTCTAGCATTATACACTTTCTGAATAAAAAAAATCGATAGTTTGAATACTAGTATGGAGTAGTTGAAGAATATTTTTTACACCAATCACTTTTATACCTGAAAACAACAAGATGTGAGCATATAAATACTTAATGGACAATAACTTATACACCTTATTTTATGTTACTACATATTTCTGCTTATTGTGAGTCATACATTAGTATAGGGAGCAAGATATTGAAGCATGGGTCTTGAAAGCAATGGAAGAAATGCAATAAGCTCATGAGGCTGCCGTGTTTTTCGGAGAAACACTTCTAAGAGAAGCATGTACTTTAGCTCTTTTGATGATATTAAAAACTACTGAATACTGTTTAGTTGATTTGACTGCAACTTTGGTTAACTATATCTATTGTTTGAAAAACAAAATAGGCAAAAAAAATAGGCAACTACATGAGAACTTTTGCATATGTTTCTAATTAAGATCAAGAATTAATAGCAGTTGAAAATTCTACCTGAAATTTTGACTTAATGTTTCTGTTGTTGGGCGATGCAATACTATTTCGTAGTTCATTTTGGCTCCCTTTTGCAAGTTTGGTGGCGGAAGGTAAAGCACCAGTCCATCTTCACGGGCGTAAATGTCTCTGGAACTATAAGATTGCGGTTTTCCTTCTACCACTTTATTCGATGGAGGATCTGAGTTCAGGAAACTCAAAAGAACTACAAAGAGTTATTGTTTTAAAAGTTTATAATCATAAAGTTGAATATTTTCACCATTTAATCCAGGGACAAACATTTTTGAAGGAATAAATTCTGAATTGATTTACGCAATTTTTTTCAATTTAAAAAAATTATTCGATAAAATGTACTGGGAATCCCAAATATAATCTGTCAAAACTACTTCGATGAAAGATTTTGACAATAAAATTTTGTTTTAGCACTCAGCAAGAGCACAGATTATTTAGAAAAATGTTTTCATATTCTTCTGTTTTCAGAAACGGGACCACAGAGTAGGCGACATCTGAATTTGATAATTCGAACATCAAACTTTGGGAAAATATCGACTATTGAGAATTGAGATCTTATCACACAAAAATGCCTTTTTATTTTTTTTCATGTAGTCGAAATGAAAACGAATTGTTTATTTGTTCACAAACCTTTCATTATATAAATGAATACTTTTTCAAAGAAAATGACAAATGCTTTTTGGCCATTCTGAATATAGTAATGAAAAATCATAAATAAGAGCTAATTTGAACAGATTTTTATAAAACATGATAAGTACATAATAATAACAGATCACGGGTTTTTCCCGATTGTACGTAATAGACACGACCCAAAAGTAATGGATCTATTACAATATTGATGACATACGCAACACCTCAGAACGCAACACTGGAACAAACTTTTCCAACTCGAATATATAGGCCATTATCTTGTCAATTGTCAAATTGTCATTGTGACTTGTGTCATTTTTTTGTAAATTCTTTCATTATCGGCGAGTGTAAGAAGAAGATCCGATTTTTGGTTATTGCATGTAAAGGTTATTATGTGTATGATACAATAGAAGTGAATCTGAAAGCACATTTACATTATGTTACATTTTGAGGGACCGAATATGGATGATTATGAACAAGTAAAGTATTCACTCGACTGAATTATGATATTGTCATTTTGCTAATATTGTATAAGGAAATTGATAACACATGTTGCTTTTAAGTCATTCATAGTTTTTTACATACCTACATGTTTTGCTGGTACCAAACCCATATCTGCATGACTTGAATTTATACACGCATTTACACCAAAACTTGAACATTTGTTGAATTCACAAACAACTTTCATTATAATGGCACACAATGACAGGTCTCCCTTATCAGAACCACTAGATTTTGTCAATAAAATTTTTATATTTCAGACCTATGAATATGGATACGATGACTACGGAGGACATACTGGTGATCCCAGTTTGGATGAATACAATAGGCAACATTTTAAGATACCTGATAGCGTAAAAAATTTTCTGGTATACTTTCGTAATAATGTAAACGAGGGTTTAGTTTTTGAACTTCAAGCACTATATGAAATCAGTTGGCCAAAACTGACTGAGGAATATTTTGAGAAACGATCATGGCCAGAGGAATCTGAAGTAGCTGCCATTGTGGACAGTGATCCTGTGAGTATTGAAATATATCTATCAGAACAAGCAGTATTAGCAGTAGAGCAGTATTCTATCATTTCAGGAACTCACATTCTTAATTATAAACTCGTTCAATGACACAGTCTTTTTACAATCACATTCTAACTAAACGTCGAATTTCTTAAAAATTGTATCTTTTCCAGCAACCTACTTCATCACTTCAACAAGGTAGTTTTTCCTTAGTTCTGTTGGTAGGGTTACAAAATTCAATTAGAAATGAATGTGATTTCGTCAAATTCATATGATTACAAAAATAAGACGAATGCTACCTATTTCTTTATCCTTCATTATATGCCTTCCACAATTGATCCCCTGTTTGTAGTTTTTGTACGGTTTCATTGAAAAGAATGCTGAATTCAAAAGAACTCATTTGCAGCAATAAATAAAGACATATGTTCTTCTAGAGTAAAATTTCTTGTCTTTTGACTATTCATGATATTTTCACCAAATAATAAAAATCTTTATGAAGTGAATATATTTGAAGAATGTTTTGTGAAAATATTAGAAATGAACGAATCAAGGTCCTCAGCATACGATCATGAAAAGAGTTTTTATTAGTACAAGAAAGTTTTTGAAATAATCTACTTTTGATTTTAAATTTGTGAGTGACCTCGTCTATGAAAGTAGACCACACCACCAAGTTTCCACTTCAAATTCATGATCAGAGTACAATGAATAAGTATACTCAAATATTTTTTTTTTAATCCAGTGAGCTATAAGGTGCATGACACATCAACTTACCTTCAGTTCCCATTTCAGACACATCTTTCAATTTTTCTTTCATTTTGCTTCCTTTGTCAAAGAACTCTTCTTTTAGTTTTTCTCTTACTTCTTCACTTTTTGATATCAGTTGTTTTTTGTAATAGTCCATTTTTAAATCTATAACAATACTCTGTCTCAGATGACTCTTTGATATACCTTTTGCCTGGTGATTTGTGAATGAACTCAATGAATAAATAATATTGATGTTTATAGGTCAAGTATTATTGATTTTTATTTAGTATCAATGGTAATTGATGGTTTGCTCATTAAACAAGAAAAGAAAAATTACTGGGAATAATAAATAATATTTTTGTTGAAGGTATTCATGATTTTGTATAAAGAACTTTACTTCCGGCACATCTATGCGAGAATTCAGGGTGGACCAACTTTAGAACAACGTTTCAACTCTTTTTACAATTACTGTGATCTCTTCAACTACATTCTCAGCGCTGAAGAACCAGTACCATTAGAATTACCAGACTTGTGGCTGTGGGAACTTATTGATGAATTTGTCTATCAATTTCAATCCTTCGCTCAATATAGGGCACGTCTACAAAATAAGAAGCCCCAGGAGCTTGAAACGCTGAATTCCAACAACAAGGTATGGAATGTGCTTTGTGTATTGAATGTTTTACATTCTCTTGTGGATAAGAGCAATATTAAGCAACAACTGGAAGTATATGCAAGCGGTGGAAATCCTGATTCAGTATCTGGTGAATTTGGTAGCCATTCATTATATAAGATGTTGGGATATTTTTCACTAGTGGGGTTGCTGAGACTCCATTCATTGTTGGGCGACTACTACCAAGCTATAAAGGTGAGGATAAATTAGACACATATTAAATCAATTCTTTCACATATCTGATCAACAAAAAATTAAAAATATTCAGTCTAGACATGGTTTTATTCAAATAACTTTCAAGAGCAATAATAAAACATCAAATATCTCCAATACAGACAATGGTTTCATATCTATACTATAGGTTGTTAGGATTAGCATAAATTTCAGGGTTCTCAACTGAAAGGACTTCATTTATGAAGAAGATGGTTCAGCTTGTCAAATGTAGGAAGAGCTTTCTGAATTCCGTTATGGTCTCGCCCACTAAATGTGCGTTCGTTAGAAGACTAAGAGAGCGAGAAAGAGAGAGAGAGAGAATTCTCTTCCTAGATTTGACAAGCTGTATAAAAATAGTTTTTTTTGAATATCTTTTGATATTCTTTTGATGTTTGATAAACAATTTTTTTCAGGTTCTTGAGAATATCGAGGTCCACAAGAAATCCCAGTATGCTCACATTCCAGCATGCCAAATATCCACTTCTTATTACGTTGGATTTGCTTACATGATGATGAGAAGATACTCTGATGCTATTCGAACGTTCTCTTCTATTTTGTTATATGTTCAGCGAACCAAACAGCTGTTTGCTTCAAAAACATACCAACACGATCAGATCAACAAACAGACAGACCAGATGTACCATCTACTGGCAATCTGTTTGGTACTCCATCCTCAATGCATTGATGAGTCTATTCAACAGACTCTGAGAGAGAAGAGCTACCATGAAAAGATGTACAAGATGCAATATGGTGATCTGCAAGAATTTGAGAATTGTTTCGTTTACGCCTGTCCCAAATTTTTATCTCCTTATCCTCCACCAATTGATTCTGTCCCAGGAGATTATTCTAAAGAGGCAATTCAACATCAGGTGGCCATGTTCAAGGTAAGAAATTAAAAATTGTATTTTTTGTGATGGGTCGGTAGACAATTGAGCATCATATTGACACTTGTGTGTTTTCAGGATGAAGTGGCTCAACAAAAAACATTGCCAACTATTAGGAGTTACTTGAAGCTCTACACAACCCTACCGTTGAGTAAATTGGCAACTTTTATGTCCCAGAACAACAGGATGAGCGACGGAAAGAGAGATTTAGATAAGGAGATGCAGAATTTGATAATTCACCTGTTGTGTTTCAAACACAAAATGAAGAATGTAGTTTGGTCCAAGGGGGCTTCTGGATTGGAAGGAAAATTCCAAAGTGGATCAGAGGTGTGTTAACTTTTGCCTGAATTTAAATTTTCTTGAGTGTTATTGTTTCAACTTGTTTCTGACAAGATTTTGAAATTTTTTTCAATATGTTGATTTATCTCTGTTTTTAAAATTCCCATAACTGTTGATAAGCCATTTGAGATATGGGACCTTTCAAGTCCATGACATGATTCACATTGCAGACACAAAAGTAGCCCACCGATATGGAGATTTCTTCATTAGAAAGGTCTTGAAATTTGAAGATCTCAATAGAAAACTGCATCAACTAAAACTGTAAAGCAGTACAATCAATTGAATTAATTTTTTAAATAAAATTAGTTCCAAAAATTCCAGTGTATATTCATTTTTTTGGTAGATCCTGTATCAATGTGGAATAACAGAAAATTTCCTCATTTTCTCATGGAAGTGTGAAAACAAAATTAAGGGAGTTGAAGAAAATGATCTTGATCACAGAATTTCTAAATGGTTTAGAATAGATTTTTACAGCGATATTGGGATAACCGCATAGGTGAAAACTGCATGTACCTCCTTTCATATTTTTAACCATTTTTTTGGCAGTAATTTTTTCAAGACGTCACTAACATTTATTATGAACCTGGCAATACTGTAAAACTTATCCGTATCACATAATTTGATTTTCTTCTTCTTCATCCTGTATTCTTGTTGTTCTGCCTGTGCCTGCGACAGTTTAGGTGGATTTGATGGTTAGATCCGAAATTATGAAGCGTTTTCTATTGCAAAACAGACTTTGTAATTGAAATTTTGTTAAAGAGATATTTGATACAGAAGTACTAATTGAATAGTTATGTCATATATTCATGGAATATATGCAATCAATGAAGTCGCCCCGGAGCGCCAATTAATTTTTATTGTTGTTTTTATTTTTATCCTTGTATTAAAATTAGTACAGTATTCATTCATGTACTTCTTGAAGCTCTACAAAAATCATATAAATTTCGAAGTGTGGTTTGAAATGGATGGTAAGTCCTGGTGGTAGTGAAGTCGCAGTCATTTTTGAAACTTCCAAATGGAAAAATTTTGACAGATCAAAAACTCACAACGGACTTTTCTATTGGTTGTAGCAGAATCACCCTGTATTTCGAATAGATAATTATGATTCATCTGCTTCAACTAATTCAATTTGAAGTCATTATTGAATGAGTCGTCTATCTAAAGGGCGCTTTATCAGCCATTGTCGATTTGAAAATCCTATTTGTTTCAATAGCGTATCACCCGAATTTCATATGCCTACACATCATAAGGCTTTTCATATCTACTGTGAAGAAAAGGTCTTATTACCAATATGAATGATTTGGGCTGTTTTGGAGACCTGTGTAATAAATAATTTCATATGAAGTAAATTGATGGATGTAGCTGTTACTATATGGTAGGAGATCATAATGTTTTTCTACCATTTTTTTTTGTAAATCATAATGTTCAGGTACTCAATTAAGTTATTGCCTACAACCTACAATAGATATATAAGGGCTAACATTATTATTTATTTTCAGTTTATTGTAATTGCTTGAAAATATCCTTTTGGGACGAAACTGCACCGACATTGGTTACCTACAAATAAAAGTGGTAAAAAAACAGAAAATTTTATTTCTCATTTTTCATACTAATTAAGTGTTTGCGAAGTNATATTATTATAATAATATTATTTAACAATTCTCTGATTCCCTTAAGCAATAATAGAGTATTGGCACCTAAGTGATTGAACACTTGTATTCAGTGTTTGGCAAAATCTAGAGCAATCTCATTGACAGGTTGTGGTCTGATGAAATTGCTTGCAGCGCCCTCCCTTGACAGGAAGTCAGTAGCTTCATTAACCAATTATTTATGAATATTTGATTTTTTTGTTATATGTTAAGCATTGTTATGACATTGTTTAATTTGATTGAAATTGAATTGGGATGAATTAGGAAAAAGTTCAAGTTAACTTCTAGGCCAGTATGGCTAGGAATCCTGACTAGAGACAATTTGTTGAGTCTTTCTTTCGAGTAGTCTTTTTTGGCAGTTCACTTTCAATTTGGACTCGGCGAGAGTCAAGTACTTCTAAAGCTGTTTGGTTATCGAAGGATAATTTCTTCATCCAGATTGGAACATGATTTTTTTGCACTTTTTTCTCCTATGCATATATTTATTATTACTCAAAATGTGAAGACACAAATATAGTTAACTTGAATACTTATGCACTTGGTTCAGTGAAATATTATTTAGAAGATTTGATATGTGATGGAATCGGTCAATACTTGATGAAAATCCATAACCTATTCAAAAAACACTTCATTGTAAGATTTTAACAAAAAGTTTTACCAAAATGCAACACGTGTTTTGCTATACAATAGCTTCTTTAGGATATTGTATAGCAAAACATGTGTTGTTTTTTTTTTAAACTGTTTAGTGAAAATCTCACAATGAAGTGTTTCTTGAAAAGAAGATTTGAATATTTTCGTGTTTTCAGGAGTTATTGAGTAGGTTTGGATGAAGGAAGAAAAGTTTAAATCAACAATTTTTAGGTATTTATTATTAAAAAAATCACAGATCTTAATAAATTCACTAATACCTAACTTTTGTTGAAGTTTTAACTTTAAACAATGATGTATGCCTAGGTTTGAATCTAGCTGTATCTTTGACTTTGAATTTGGTATCCCCATCGCTGGTTTGTCGAAATTGTTGCCAAGGGTGTGCGTCTTCAGATTCATCTACAGTCACTTGTTCTTTCCACACTTTATACCTTGCACGGAAAATGCTAAAAAGCTTCTCATGAACCTTCGACAGTTTCTGAAAATCAAAATTATGAAAACTATGGGTATCAAATGATCACATACATAATGAAAATTCTTGTTCCATTGCTCCTACCATTCAATTATAATAATAGTATTACAGACAGTAAGACTGTTTGGGAAAAGCGAACAATTTTATTTACATTGTAAATAATTAGGGTCAAGGGCGCTTATTTTCATCTTTAGTTAAGTTGCGACCAAAAAAGTATGAAACCATTTCAAAAGATTTTAGCTGAAACCAGTTTTGACTCAATTTATTAACAGTGACAAAGGCCTTGAAGAAATCAGTGTAGAATATATCCAACTGATATTTACCTTCACTTTTGATGCCAACATTTCGTCGAAGATTTTAGCCTTCCTCAGGAGTGTGATAATGCAGTAATGCTCAATTCGAATTATCAGAACATTTTTGCTAAAAATTATGAACTACTCGATAATAGTGGTTATAATGTTCATCAGCTAATTTGAAAAAAACTAACTCCTCTTCATGAAAGTAGTCACTAAACGGATCTATTCTCAAACTTTTGGTTTGTCGACCTTGGGTGTTCTGTGTCGGCGTGGTACACAATCTATCTGACACTGAAGGGGGACATTTAACTTCCCCCTTCAGTGTCCAGAAATGTGTTTCGATCACCAAGTGATCATCTTCAAGAGGAAGATCAAACTAAAGTAAACAGTTTAGTTTGATCTTCCTCTTGAAGATGGTCACTTGGTGATCGAAACACATGTCGAGGTGTTAAAATAACGGTTTGGTGTTGGGAAGAAACTCTTTTAAAATTATCGCCAAATTANAGACAGTTCTTTGCTCTTTGGGAATCGAAAATACTTAATATTGGTCCCTTTTGTCACTCTGTTGTAATTATTACAACCAAAAACCGCACAACCAGGCATTCTTAGTTATATACCTACCTACTCGTATTTTTGTTTAATTATTGAAGCTTCGAATACGACACTAAATTGACAAAAGCTAATTAAAAATGTTTGAAAACCACTCTTGACAATAATTTCGTAATAATTCTTGAACTTCACAGCACAACAGAGAACTTGTGAGAAATTCAAATTGAATTTAGGCAAGTCTACGAAGTTACAACCCCAATATGCTTCGCACTCACGTCATCTGCGCGAACTGGACGCGTTTGGAACTAACGAGTAGCATACTGTTATGAGTGTATCGTGCCAAACAGTACATCACAAGTAACTTACCAACAATTGAAGAAAAAGAAACTCCTGAATCTACAATGTTACAGTTCTGTGTTAATCAATATAGACAACTATTGTTATATCTCTAATAACTCAGATAAAACTTTTTTAATTATTTTATTTTTATATGATGCTTCAATAAAAAATTGGCCTATATTTTTTTTGTCAAAAATCTGATCAAGAAAACGAAAACATTTTCTTATAAAAAATGTACAACTTCATTTTTAGTATTTTGGCAAATGAAGTAAACAGAAAATATGACAATATCAGTTAACAAGAACAATTGTGGAAACAAAATATGTATTAACATTACAAAATTTTATTGAAATTAACTTTTCTTACTATCTTTGTATCATAAGAATGTCTTTATCAGTTTTTGAAAGAAAAACTAACTCAAAACACTAACACAATATGGAGTTACAAGTTCAATTTTACGATATGTTGTTATGAGAAAATGTATGTCGTCATATGTTTTTTTTTCAGAAGTACGGAGCCTGGTGCTATTGCCCCACTCGCCCCTGCCTATGGCCGGCCTTGAATGAGCTTTCCTGAACCAATTCTATTTCACATTCAATTTCACTCCATAAATTATGGATTGCATTTTTCCATAAAGCTCTGAGATTCATTAACAGAGAGGCTATAGATATATTCAGATCTGTATCTGTATCTGTAGAGTAGGGAGGGTGAGTGTAAGCCCACGCACTTAGGCCACATGTGACCCATTGTACATCCTCCCGAGGAGTTGTCCTCCTAGGTCGTCGTCCATCCTGTCCTTTCCAGGAAGGTGGACAGGTCGCTGGGAGACATCTCCTTTATATCGGCAGGTGTAGGCCAAGACTCGCCGAACACACACTCTCTTATTGACGATAACTCCGGGCACTCGCACAGGACATGCCTGACAGTCTCATCTTCCTGTTCACACATCCTGCATAGAGGTGTGTCCACTAGCCCCATATTATGTAGGTGTTTCCTTAGCTGACAGTGGCCAGTCAGAAATCCTACTGTAAGGCGTAGATTTTTCCTGGTCATCGCCAGATATTTCTTCGGCGCCAGCTTCCCAGGGTCGCCCAAGGTGATCCTGGCAAGATTACATCCTTTAATTTCATCCCATCTCTTTAAAGATTGAGCATGGGTGTAACATTTGACTAGTTCCGCAATTGTCGAAGTCATCAGATATATTCAGATATTCACACAGAGATTTTACAACAGTCTGGATATCTTTGTAATATAACGGGTTTCAATTTTTTTCAATAACACTAGGAAAGTAGATATTTAGACTACGAATTGTAACTGTGTATATTTCCCTTTTGTAATGGTACTTACCTCTGAATAAATTAATACATTAAAATTGAAAGTGGATTACTAACAAAACATATACTTGGATTTCACTAGAAGCCTAAGGAAGATTGTTTTTTATTCAATGATGAATCGGTTGAATAATAAAGTAAAAAAGCAACTGTCAAAAGAAAAATATTGAAAATAATGTTACATATCTCTTACATATCATAAGAGATGCTGTTTGGTCTTCAACCAAAATTGGTAGGATAACTGAAATTACTTATATTGAAGAAACGCCAAGAATAATGTTAACGGTATGAACAATTTAGAAAAATAATCTTCAATTTCATGTTCCTCCACGATCTGGAACACTAATTCTACAATCAGAGTAAATAGCGAATAAACACGCTCTATTATTTAATCAATAATTTTATAACAAGCAGTTTAGAACAGATTCAAGATGGGACGATGAAGATATAACGATGATACATGGGCAAAAGTCATAAAATTAACACAATTTTTTTAAATGTATTATATATTAGAAGAAGAATAGTGGTTGCTTTGAAAATAGTTTTCAAATTGAAAGAGGAGAGATTGAATTTTAGGAAAGAAAGGTTAACCCCATACAAAGATGTGTAGACCATGGAATACATTTTTCTCTATTAAGATGAGGGAAGTGGAGTGCCAAAACCTTTATTTTCCACATCATTTTCCTTTCAGCTTTGCTGGTATATTATTGCTATACCCATGTGATGATAAGGAAAGAATTGTACAGTTGCATACCATTTGCGATGCCAGTTCAAAAATATATGCTTCTGCTTTTCCAAACTTTTATTCAACTGTCACATTTTGTATGTATGTAGGCATGTTAGTTCGGATCAAATCTTGCAACTGAATTTTTAAGCAGTTATCCTCATTGATTGAACTAAGATGTATACACATTTACTTTGGATGACAATATATGTTTAGCTAAGCGATCCCATTCTACAAAAAATAACATGACGTCACTCTAAATCCAATATGGCGAACCACCCAAGATGGCGGAATGGATTTTTTGTGTACCCGCCGCAATATGCGTATAAAATGATTTGGGTTGATGGAAATAAATCGAGAAATAACATGACATATATGATATTGTATTGTATTGACTCGGCAACAGTTGAGATAGTCTGTTGATGCTTAACAAATGTTGCAAGGACCGACCATGCAACAATGATGCTTCAAATGAAATATGGATCTCGGCATAGGTAATTCTGAGAAAAAATTATGCTTTTATATCATATAAATTGTGTACTAAGATAAATTGTTTTTGGTGTAATTTGAGGTTTATTTTCTTAAGAGTCGGTAAATTGAAACTTACTTTAGAAAATGTACTAACTATAAGTTCATTTACCTACATAATTTTGAAATTGTACATTTTAGTTCAATTCATTCCATTTGTTCACGCCTTTCACGAGTAGGAGAGACAGAAGATTGAATAGAATGCATAACTGTTATTATCATTCTTATCTACTATTAATGTTAAAAAGAATATCAAACCTTGTTGTTTGAAAGATCTTTACATTCCTTCCTGAATGTTTCCAGTCTTTCCATAAATTTTCTGTTTGGTTCAATTTGTTCTGTATGGCATAATTCCATCACATACAGAACATAACTAATATTAAGGTGAAAACATGCTTTGTGTAACATTGCTCCCAGAATTTCGGCATTCAACCTGAAAATGGCAGAAATTAAACAAAAACATACAATCACTTAAACAGCATAATGAAATTTAATTTTGAATTCATGTACAAGGGTTACCTCTTACATTTTTACAAATGATGATTCGATGAAGTAACAGAAGTTGAAAGTGTAGTTAGTTGATAGTATTTGAAAAAAGCAAGTATCCCTTGGCATATCACAGGTATGAAAAAAAAAAAACTGTGCCAGAAAAAAACTAGTGAATTAGTGAAAGAAAAAGTTAAAAAAAAACTCAATTTGAGAATTGCAAAATGCATGATGAAAGACCCATGTATTTGTACGATCTGGAAATTGAGCAAAAACCCACTATTTGGGCATTTCGGAATCCACAAAAATTGTTTGCTCATGAAGCATTTTCAAGAAAATGTTTATTTGAATTCATTGGATAAATTAGCATCGAAGAACAGTTAACAGTGAGTGATAAACAAAAATTTGTTTGCCAAAAGACTTTGACTCATTGGATAACTCATTGACTCTTTCGTAATAACAACAATAATATTAATGTGCATCAGAACTAAATAACATATCTTCAACCGAATAATGCGAATAATAGAAACTGCAAATGAAACGAGAATAACCTACATTAGAAGGTTACTGACTAAAAAAACTGAAATCAGTTGAAATCTTATGAAACAATATCACAAAGTAATTTATCGACGTTTTATTTTTGGGGTTTTTCACCTTCAACAATCTGAAAAATATAAAAATTGTAATGAAGAACTTCACACAGAAGAAAGAACAAAACATTGCATTTATAAGACACCTTGTTCTTGTGGTATAAAAACGTTATTTTCGTGAAACTTCAAGACCATTGAAAGTGTGTGACAATGAATATCGGGTTTAAATCACAAATAGACAATCAGCAGAATCAAAATTGTCAGAACACATTCTGAAATCAGATGGTGAAAATTGAGCTGAATTGAACAAGACAAGAATGGTTACCAATAAACCCACTCTATTCAGAAATTTTTGCGACATATTTCAAATATGTTTAATTATGTAATTACAATATGTTAACCTTGCATACAGTGACAATAAGTTTACGGTTCTTGAGAAAAATTGAGCTTTTTGGGCATTTATATTCAGCATTATTGTTCAAAGATAGTGTGCTATGAATAATAAGGCCCAGATATTTGATTTCTGGAACAATAATAATGAAATATATAAAAAAAGATGAAGNACTAAGTCCACATATCTAATAGATAAAATATAACAATGGAAAATGATATTTAACAATGTTTGTCCAAAAAATAGTTTGTATAATCCCTTTCAAAAAATGTAAGAAACAAATATACACAATTTGAACATACGTTCACATGTCATGTCAATAAAATAAGATATATTACAGTATAAAATATAATTTGAAGTATAGGTGTCAATATAAACAATAACAAAAAAATCACATATATTAAATCGCAGCAAAGTTCCATTGTAAAATTCATCAATGTAATACGCTTTTGTTGCAACGGCATCTTTATCAAGATTCCTGAACTTTGTATAGCTTTTTTCCTTTCTAATTTCGTAAGGTATGTGATTATACAGCTTTTTACTTTCATAAATTAAAGAATACTTTGTCTGACTTGTTTTTGGAACAGGAAGATGTATTTTATTTTCTGTTAATTGCCGGGTTTGTAATTTATATGTTCTGGAGTTCCAACCATATTGTTTTTTGTAAATCAGGCAGACCGTTTCCAGAATGAAAATACAAGTAACAGTGAGAATTTTTTCTCTCAAAAATAATGGTCTGCATGACTCACACACTCCCACCTTGCATAAATATCTAACCGCTCGTTTTTGCAAATCAAACACTGAATGAAAAAGTTGTTGACTGCAAAATCCCCAGAAGGCAACACCATATCTCAGGTGGGATTCAATCAGGAAATGACATACCAATTTTGTTGTGGATGAACTCAGTTCATTTGGAACTATTCGAAATGCATAACGTCCTGATGCCAATTTTTTATTCAAAGCTGAAATATGTTGATCAAATTTTAATTTGTTATCCATGAAGATTCCCAGGAATTTGGAATGGTTTTCATTCTAGAGTTTGTCCATTCAAATATAAATTTTTGATATTACAGCTAAAAGTGAGTGGCTTTGTTTTTTTTTGAATATAAAAACACAAGTAGTTTGTGTCACACCATTTTTTCACATCTTCTAAATCACTAGGGATAGTTTCTTTCATATTAGAAGTATTTTTTCCATGCCAAAGGAGCGTGGTGTTATCCGCAAACATTGTAAAAATTCTTTGAATTGAGAAAGTAACAAGGTCATTTACATATATCAGGAAAAGAATCGGGCCCAGTACTGATCCTTGTGGAACGCCCCATAATATATACTTAGTATGTGATAGTTTTTCGTTTTATCTCACTAACTGTTTCTTATCACTTATGTAAGACCTGAACCAGTCAGTACACTGCTCTAAAACCATAGCAGTCCAACTTTTGCAAAAGAAGTTCATGATTTGGAGATATACTTTTTTAGCAAATTAGGCGGTTCGCTTTATATTTGACGCTAAAAAGTTAATTGCAGGATATTGTGTTTTGATCAAGTTAAAAATGAGTTATTTCTCATTGGGAAGATCGCTGTTATCTCAGCAACTAAAACGTGGCATAAACATGAGATAACTGATGATCAAATTGCAATTAATGGTTATAAACTCTATAGATTGGAGAGAAATACTAGAGGGAGACGATCATGTATTTATATTGTGAAAAATATCCATAGAATGAAAATCAATCACATTGGTGATGTTTCAGAACATCTTCGGATCAATTTCAAGTCGAAAAAAAGTTCTATTCCTTCGGAGTAATTTATAGACCTCCTTCAGAAGACGTTGGCATGTTCATTAATGAGTTTGAGAATATTTCAAGTTCAATCTTATCCAACAAAAGTTAGTGTTATCTGAACTGAAGATCTTAATATGAACTTCCTTGATTATGAAAGTCTGAACATCTGCAAGTTTCTGTCTATACTGGAATATTTCGATATGAAGCAAATTATAGAAACTGCCAAAAGGGTAACTGATCAAACAGCAACTTTACTTGATGTTATCATCATAAATGAACAGGAAGTGTTGGAAAAGGGTGTCCATGAAAATGGTGGTATATTTGATCACCTAATGGTATTGTGTATATCACATATTGGCCAGAGAAATAATTGTTCAAAAATGTGTATACATTCATTTCAAATATTTTAACCAAACCCACTTTGATAGGTACCTTTTTTATTACCATTTTTCAGAATATTTGATTTTGATATCGTTGAAGAAAAATTTTCATTGCATGTCAATTGTTTGACCTATTTACTTGGAAGACATGAACCAATTACAACTTCTAGGGTTAGTAAAAAAATCTACATGGTTAACTGGGGTCATACAGAAAATTATTTCACTGAGAGATAAAGCGTTGATGAATTAGTCTAGTTGAAAAACTCCAGACATCACCAGAAGATGGCGAATGAAACTTTGTCAGAACGTTGTGAATATTATCCATATGAGGATACAAAACACAGAACACGGAGTGAAACCCATGAGAATATGAATACATATGTGTAATAAGTGAAACTTATTACATAATGTGTAATAAGTAAAACTTATTACATATATGTATTCATACCCTTATGATTTTTNATATATAGTTGCAGAAATACTTGAAAGTCATTTGGAAACTGATTGTGAAATATAACAATCTATAATGAACATAGCTCGAGGCTGCCTTAAATAATCTGATTATTGACCTGAAAATTCTCATCAATTTACTGCCTTAGTTGATTGTCTTCGTTAATTTATTGAGGCCTTATGTGGACGTCTGATAGATGGACTTTATTAACCATACTGCAAAACTAAAAAGTAACATATTTGTTTTTTTTTCAAATTACCTTTCCACTTTCATAATCAAATCTTATACTCCTTTTTTTCAAGAGCATGTTATAAAAATCAATATCAGGACGAACATCAGACTTTCTCATGGAAGTCATCAAATCTTCTTCAGCTGCTATTGTACCAGGTATCGAATCTAGCAACAGAGTGAAAGTTTTGATGTCAGGCTGACATGCATAATCTTTCATAGACTGCAAAAATCCTTTACAACCACCAACAAGTAACAAACGTTCCTCAGGCTTTGTAACTTCTGAAAGAGATATTATGTTGCCCAAATGTGGTACTTTAGCCATAAGATTAGGTCTAGAAGGGATTGATTCAATATATTCTATAATATTTCCACAGTTCTTTTTGTCATCTTCATGTTGATCTGTGATAATACCACTTGGATCAGTTTGATCAACTTGTTGTTCTAAGATTGTACTGGATTCTATTTCAGGTACTTGACAAGGATCTAAATGTTCACTTGGTTGATTAACTTCATTTTCAGTGCTCTCAGTGGCAGATAAAAGCTTTGTTGTATCGGAGTTTTCTAATGAAGTTTGTTTATTTTCATCAACCAATTTTTTGATGACATCATTGGCAACTTCGGTATCCCCTAAACCACAATCCCTAATAGTTCTTAGCATCAAATTGAATGTGAACACACTAGGTTGGATATTTTTATCAACAAGCTTTCTCCATACAAGTAAAGCATGTCTGAAACCAGCTTCCTTATCAGTGATACAAGCGTTCAGTAGAAAGCAGATTGTATCGTCTTTAACAGGTGAACAAGTACTTTTTCCAATCACCAGAACTGCAACACTCTTCTCGACGTGCGTTCAAGTTGGCCTCTTCAGGAGATGAAAAGTTGAGAATATGCAGTCATCCTGAGAACATTCTCGGCAAAAACACGGTTCAGATATACTGTGAGGGGAACCAGGGTGCACTAGGGGCACAGACAACATGCTGCACAAGCGGACACTGACGAACCCAAAAGTGACATTGATTTAGAAATGCAATGAGGAATTGTAGAAACTGGCAAAAAGGAATAGACGGACTATATACTGGATGGGGAAATACATTTTCCGTATTTCTATAGATAAGTATAATTTCATAAGGCTATTTTGAAAAATTATGGAATATGCTTGAATGAATCTATGTATTTACTGCCTATTTAGAAGGCGACAAATTCTTTAAAAAATAAACGTGGTTATAAAAGTAGTAAAAGTATGATGACACCAATCAACTAATTTTAATACAATATAATAATAATTGTTATTCAAACTGGTGAATGTCCTGTTGGGATTTTCTTTGATCTCAGCAGATCATTTGAGTGTGTTGATGACAAATTACAACCATAAGGAATAGAGAATACTTCAAGAAAATGGATTGATACCTTCCTAAGAAATCGTGGACAATACATCAGTATTTAAAATAGCAAGAATAACATGGAAATGCAGATGATGGTTCAGTGACTGTGTTGAAAAAATGATACCGCGTTACAAATATCTTGTGATGATGCTTCTGAAAGGATGAATACCTAGTTTTCAGCAAATTTCTCGTTACATCAACTTGGATATAACTTATTTCTTAGGATTTCATAATGATCAAAACACATGTCAAAAACCTTTTTACACTTTTCTCAAAAGTTTCAGTCATCTCCTGATGCTAACTTGTTACTCAAACAAACGTGAGAAACAGTATCTTGTTCTGGCATGAGAAAAGTGTTTCTAACACTCAAATTCATTTTACGCCAGAGGTTCCAAATCAATAATTATAAAGGGGAAAAAAATTATTATTATTATCATTACCTTCAAACCCCTTTTCTTCATGCTGTTAAATAACATAAATGCTTTTTTTGTATATCCCACCCTACCACAAGCTCCAAGAAGAAGGTTGTAGATATAACTGTCAGGTTTAACTCTGTCTTCTTTGATCATCCGCACTTCTACTAGGTCTATCGCCTCCTTGATTTTTCTTCTCTTTATCAAATCCTTTATCAAGTCAGCATATTGCTTTGTCCTAAGTTGTTGTGATGGTGAGGGTTGTACAGTCAAATATTTTTCTTCCTCCAGGTCACCTTCATCTACGATTTCTTGTTCTAACTGACTACCAAAAGTGTCTGGATCTGTTTTCAATTTCACCAGAAATTCTTTTTCAGAAATACCTTCCTGAATATTTTTAATTTTCGGTGATTGTTGGGTTGTGGAGAGAACATGTTCTTTAATGTTGTTTGAACAACTTACAGGCGAAGCACGTTGAAAAACACATGAGTGAGAGGTACGTAAATACTTTTTTATGACTACATTTCTGAATAACTGTTTTCGTGCGACATTTATAATTAATTTGGATCTGAACATATCTTATTGTAGAAAAACTTTTCAAAATGTACACATAACCTATAAAAAACTGTATCCTAACCTGGACAAATTATAGGGACTTTCGATTTCAATTTCTTAGATTGGTACATGACAGGAGACTTTGGTTAGAACATTTATCTCATGGTTATATTTTATACAGTAGCGTCCCTATTTTATTCATTCAGGTTTTATTTTTCTTCAAATTGAAGTGACTTTAGGGTCTTACATAAAGGAGGCAAGGATGAAAGGTGTGCATTCTAGAGATCTAACACACTACATACTGAGAACAGTTGACAATACTCTAAGACATAAACGGTTTCATTAGTTTTATCCTGGAAAAGATTAATTATATATAATTTTTCGAAAATGCAATGACAAATAACCTCTGGGCCTCTCTTCTTTAGTTTATGAGAAGTGTTAGTAGTAGTAACTTTATTCATCATTAAGGAAATCTACAGTTCCTTACAGGTGGACACATAAATGTTTAACAGACTAGTCAAATATGAATTTATATACTAGTATAACATCCTAATATTGAATATCAAAATAATTACGAAGAAGCCATTGCATGGCGAAACAAGTGTTGCATTTTTGTAAAACTGTTAAGTAAAAATCTCACAATATACTGTTTTTTGAATACGTTAAACTAATGAGTTCAACACACTTGTGCGTGATCTAGAAAAAACGCAAGGAGGGTAACTTCGGCAATGAAACGTCACACAAGATAACAAGTTGGCAATTTCATTGACGGACGACAAATGAAAAATCCAGGAAATAAAAAATGATGAAAAATGAGAAAATTTGTTTATGCAGTCCCACCAACCTCAATCCTACCAAAAATTATAATCACAAGGACACATGTGTCGAATTAACTTAAAATTTCCGTGAAAGCTGAACAATTCATTCCGTACCTTTGTCATAGTTAGAACATAGTAGAAATCAACCAATAAGTCCACTCCCGCTACTTTCATTGAGAAAGTTCTCTGTGACCTCGAAACGAAGTGCGGAGCCAATTTCGTTCTTTTACCATCGACGTGCGCTCATATAAAAACAAAATTCAAGGATATTATAGAAGATTTTGTGGTAAGTTATTTCTAACTAACTACAAAAACTGAAAACAATAATAACAGTAGCGAATAAACTAAACATGCAGCACTGAACGCATTGGATGATAATCTCATCCTAAGAGCGGTTGAAGGTTGAATTTTCGACCGTTCATTATAAATAATCCGATGCCCGTGGTACCGTCGAATCCTTTGATACTATAGCACTGAACGCGGTTGAAGGTCCCCGACAACTCGGGCGGATATCGTGGTAAGATAGCCTACTGGTTGTATTATTCTACTGTGGTCTAGATTTCATAGTAGTTGGCATAGTCCAAAGTATTAATTCAATAGATGTGACTGTAACTCAAACCGCCATAAGCTTCGCACCAGTACCTATTTCTACATTTCTACATTAATTAAAGTACCATCGATCATTTATCCGCAATGGGTTGATTTTAGTGGTCATTTTATTTTGCAACTGTATGCAATTTATAAGCCAACGTTCTTTTCATAATTTCTTTAAAAGTTAAAGTTGTGATGCTTATTATAAGTATCTCATTGAAGCACTAATAGATCGAATCGAATCATGACGCCATCCACTTTTCCAGCGGAAAATATCTCAGGTATGCCGGATTAATCAAGCAAACTTTGTAGGTATGTGAAATTCAAAAGTAAAAACAATTTTGGGTGATTTATTGAAAACATCTATAATTATCAATGCCAGTATTTCATATTTTGGTTACTCACCGTATGCATACTACTTGATGATCATCAATGTATGGACTGTATTTCCTGTGATTTGAATGTTGTCCTTTTGCGTGATTTTGGTAAACAGAGAGAGAGAAAATATTTTAAATTGAACCAAATTGTGCTCACCTTGAAATTTTCAGCAATAATTTTACTCTGAGGGGTGCCCGATATAGTCACAAATGGAGACAAGCGCAGTAATATCGCGGTCTGTATATTGAAAATCGAATACAAAAAAAATGCTTTCATAAACACAAGCTCTATAGGAAAATAATTAAGGCGCTCTATGAGCGGTGCCTGTGCGAAAGTACCGATTTATGTTGGATTTGAATATCGGGAGATGAAATTCATTTTAAAAAATGTTCTAAAAAGGAAATGTGTTTGAAATCTGTTTTTCCGTTAATCAGCTGTCGCCCCCATACGAACGACAACTCTCAGAAGTTGAGAAACTTGTGCGAGCTAAGGACTAACGAGGTCTTACCTTTCAACGTGTGATTCTTAAGAAAGTTTATTCCATATAAACTCAGGTCTTCAAATGAAAAAGTTTTTAAATAGTGAAATTCGAGGCCACAAAACGTTGAGCAGTCACAGTCCGTCGCGTATTTCTGATGTGTACTGCTTTTGGTGGAATCAAATGTGCAAAGTAACTTGAACACCTTCCGTGACAGTAACTATGAAAGAGAGGCAAATCTCCAACTGTTCTTCGATGTTACAGACTGTCAGGGTTGTAAGAGATGTTAGTCGTCAGTAAAGCTATATACTGGATTCTTGGTTTTTTCCAATTAGTCGTTAATATACATTAAAAAGACGGTTTCAGACAATATTATGGATCCCTGGGAACACCAGCGATGACGGTAAAAGTATTCAAGAGATATCTATCGACGATCTCTTACAGAAAACGTTCTTTCAGGAAGCTAGAGAGCCATACATAAAAATGATCCGACAAGCCATAGCATCAAGTTTGGCCAGCAGTAGCGTCAAATTGAATTCAAAAGAGCGGTAAAGATGGAACACAACTTATAAAATATCTTTTGAGATTTGATATACAGAAAGTGCTGACGACTGGTATTTTCGATAGAAACCCTAGGATACACCTTGAAAATGAGAGCTTCTATGGAAAATAATATCAATATATGTTATGTTATGTTTGAAATATGTTTTTTCATTAACTATCTATCGCACCGCTACGAACGATAACCCTGACACGGGTTGGATAGCATGATAGCAAATAAAAATCGAGCGTTCAGCCTGGGGCTTGAACCATCGACTCACACATCGGCCGATTGACTGAGTGAACAAAGCACCCACGTCGAACCGCCCGGCTACCGTTGTGTAGTGTTTCCTATCTGTTGTCATTCAATATTTCAGGTATACACTGAGAATGAAAAAGTAATTTCTGTGTAATTCAATGTTCTTAAAGAAATATTGTTTTTGTATAGAACTCCATTCAAGTTATTTCTGATCGTTTCGTACAAAAAAACAACACGAAATAAGTGGCTTAAAATTGCAAGACAAAATTCAACAGAAATATTACCTAGTACTCAGCTTTATGTTTGTGAAGATCACTTTCAGGTAAGTCTTTGTTTACATTTGTAGACTATGAACCAGTATTTTCTTGGTCGAGGATTAAATTCAGTAATAAATAAACTTTTTTGCGGTTAGGTATCTTTTACCCTTGTTATATTACCTTTTTAGTGTGCACAGATTTCTTTCGCGTTTAAATTGTACGTACATCTTTCCATCATTGCCATACGGTGCCCTGGAGGACCTAATTAAATGAATTATTGTGTGTGTTGTGAGTACGTAGTTTTACTCTCTCAGCATCAACAAGTCAATTCTAGGCACATTACCGCTGTTTGCCTTCATAAATCCTGGTTTCTTGGCGCACGTTATTTCACTTTTGATTCAACAACACAACAAAAGAAAACAGTCACTGTAAAAAATATTAAGTCGTTAAGAAACCCAGAAAGAACTACCGTTGAGTATTACTGTCCAATTATGATGCCATATTCGTTTGTTCACTTCAACGTGTCGTAATTCACTGTGATTAGCGTTCGAAAAATCGTGGCGATTTGAATTGCCGTATTTTGTAGTTTCATTTTACCAAAATATTATCAAGTTCGCTTATATTCATGCAATAAATGTGTGTTTTTTATTCCATTACTAGAATTGTGATTGAATTTAAGTGATTTTTACTTAATGCCTATTTCAAAATGAGTGGCTCACTTGCAAACGAACAATTTTGTTCAAAGTCTCAAAAATACTTCTTAATAACATTTTAACTTCAATACGGATTTACAATTATTCAACGGACTTAGGTATTTCGTTCATCAACTTCGTCGTTATTTATACGGTTATTTTCAATAAAGTTTCATTTTTGATGGTCAAAAATTATTGCTGAGACGCCTCTGACTGCTTAGATATTTTCATCGGTTAGTGCAGTGAATACTGAAATGTATTAATATCTATTTGAAGGCACGGGAAATTTATGCTAGTCTGCAGTATTTGTGAGTATCTCAATATTTCTGAACCCGCTTTGTTTCTAATCCATCTACATTTTTCGTACTGATCACCTAGAAGACATTTTGGAGTTAGGTTCTGAGTCAAAGGGTTAATTGTAACAACTGTAACGCAGAACTATCGGGATCGAACTAAAGGTGCGTTCGGTTTTTAATATTTATGAACTCGTAAAATACTAGTACACTTCTCTCTCTATCTCTCTCTAATATTGGCTTAGATTCCGTTCCGACACAATAAGCCATGTCTACTCCAGAGAGTAGAGAAGTTTTGCTGAATGCAATACTGCACTCCTTTTTTAATGCTTCATGAATTTTCGTAAATGTATGGCACGTCTTTCAACGACAGACATACACTACAGACACAGCTACAGATAAAACTACCTATCACTTCACAGATGAACTTATATTGCTTGATCCGCTTGATCGTGTTATGACCGTTCTTTCGCTGACGAGAACAATCACATCCATTTACACATCCACCCATCTCGGCAAGGAAACGGAAACTCCTGTACATACAGTGGCGTAGTTAATTCTATATGAGTCTTATTAGGAAGGCAAGTCAATCTGAATACTTATTTAATTTTCACATATTAGTAATAATTCGATGGTTAGTGGAGAGTGGAACTGAAACTTTCAGTGTAGAATAAATGCAAATCAATCACGATAACCAAATACCTACCTGTTTAAGTGTTGTGTGCAGTGCAGGGCCGTCGCCCTTGGGGGGATGGCGACGGCTCTGCTTTTTCGACTTGAGAAAAAGTTGGGAAGTGAAGAT